TGTGTCCTAACCATTAAGTTGTTATCAGAGTAAATCCCTGTTCAACATGAGTCTGACAACTAGGGAATTGGATAAACAACTTAACTACTAAACTAACTTTCAGCCCCTTACCAAACACGGAGAGGTTGACCATGTTCTCCCGGTTGCCGGCGGGCAACCTGTCTCTTTCTCTGTGTTATGGAAGATTTCGACTCTAGGCTGGTCCCGATCCGATATCTGGATCCGGTTGGCCGCCGATATTTACAAAAAAATGCACCGATCCAGAGTCCAGATCCAGTCAGAGCAATTAGCATTAGCATTAGCATGAGCATTAGCATTCACATTATCATCTCCTAACCCACAGATATGTGTCCTAACCATTAAGTTGTTATCAGAGTAAATCCCTGTTCAACATGAGTCTGACAACTAGGGAATTGGATAAACAACTTAACTACTAAACTAACTTTCAGCCCCTTACCAAACACGGAGAGGTTGACCATGTTCTCCCGGTTCCCGGCGGGGAATGTGGTGTACTCGCAGATGTAGGCGGCCTCGTCGGACAGCTGCAGGTTGGTGAACACGATGGTGGTGTCCTCCAATAGGGGCATGCGCTGGCGGACCGCCGCCTGCTTGAAAGTGACGCGCTCCTTAAAGGGCGGCAGCACGGAAACGCCCAGCGCCGGGTTGGCGATGGCCACGTTCTGCTTGGTGCCGTTGAGGAACTTCTGCCAGGTGACCTGCGAGATCTTCACCGGTGGGTTGCTGTTGCTGAAGATGCATTTAAGCTCCACCTGGGTGCCCACGAAACCGGACTTGACCGGGTCCATTTGCACCACCTGTCCATCTCCAGCTAAACACAGAAGAAGAAAAAAAAAAAAAAAAAAAAAAAAAAAAAAAAAAAAAAAAAAAAAAACTATAGACGTCTTTTATGTTTTTCAACGAGAGTGTCTGGGGGACGATCTGCTAAAGCTTGTCCGTAAATATGGGCTTCTAGACAGAGTATGTAGTAACAAATTGACCCTCTAGGTGGCAGTGCCACTTTTAATAAATGTCACATCAACACTATAACCCAACACCTTATCAATAACTTCTGTCACCTCCTTCCAGTAAGTCTGGATGGAGGGGCACAACCAGAATATATGTGCATGTCCCACCATTCCTGAGTTTCTGAGGACAGACAGGGACCTGCTGTTCTGGTAGCTTGGTAGCTGGTTCCTCCATCTTGGAACGACACATTAAACAGTCTGGATGGTCTTAAGCGTGGTGAAGGCTCTGCTGGACCACAGTCCACTGATGACCGGAGTGATCGAGTTGTGACATAAGCTAAGATATGATAAACAACTGTCCAAGGCTGTAACCTGGTTCCTCTAGCACTGAGTTTGTTTTGGTTTTGGCCACTAATTCTGCTGTCATTTCAGATCCTGCTCTTATTCCCTGCCATGAATTCTCTCAGATATTCTCCTGGTTCTCCACATCCAGCTCATTGGTTCCTCAGTATTTATACCAGTCCATTTCCACTTGATCCCGGCCAGATTCGTGCCAAACTTTCCCGCTTTTACCTGTTCTGATCTCACTTTTGCCCTTCTCAGACCTTGTATTCCTGCCTGCCCCTTATCGGATTTGCTTGCCTATATGATTGATCTCCTGGTTTTGACCCTGCCTGTTTTTGGACCCAGTAAACGGATTGTCCCTCTAAACTTGCCAGCTTCGTTTGCCTCGTTGTCGAGCATTTTTGGTTCTCTGTTGCCAGGACCAGTGGTCGTGACAAAGGCCAAACTCTCCAGTCAATAGCAGATACACACACTGAAAGCAAACGATTTAATTCAGCCTTGTAGGTGGAACGTGGATTCATGCCTTCAGACATGTCCATAAATCAGAATAAAAGCTCATGCATGCTTGCGACTGTGTGCAAACACAGGGGGCGTGTCATTAACATATTGGGAACATTCACACAACCCGCTTATTGTCCGGGAAGGTCCCGTTTCCAATGCATCTCTAATGAACCAATCAGAGGGCAGGGAACCGGAGAGAAGTCATCGCGTTCCCCTCCACCCACCCAGCAACACACCGGGAAGCCCCATTGTAATTTTAATTACTCCGAACTCACAAATACTTCAAATGACTGCCTCCAGCTCCTATTAAAAGAAACAATGTGGAGTCCTGTGTAAGCACTCGAAACAATGAGAGCGCACACATTAGCAGCGGTAAAGAAATCTGCAATTATGAAGCCCCAGCTTACAATCTATGCCTGTGAGGAGTGTTTTGGTGGCAAAAGAGGATCATTTAGTGGGTAGACTCATTAAACCCACCTGTGGTTCAGTCATACAACCTGATGCTGTAC